ATGCGTCGCGTGTATGTGTGTGCAGCGATCAGCTGAGTGCCCCGTGTAAGCGCTCGCGGCGAGAAGCGCCGTGCGCCGCCCCTGCCTGCCTCTTGTACTCGGCCCGTCATTCGTTAACTATTTCTTTTAATAATTCAAAAACTAAGCTTCGGAGAAAATTTTGGTAAGAGAAAAATCGTCTTAGAATTTAATCAGGAATTCGACATTTCATGGACACTATACCTATTCTGAATCACCCTGTATAATATCGGAAAACGAGGTTACGTTAAGTCCGCGACATACAGAGGCAATCCACAATTTTAAGAGGACGAATAATGTACATGAGGTACAGCGCTTTCTGGGTCTGGTAAACTATTTTAGGCGCTTCATTAAAGATTTTACAATGAAAGCGAGACCATTGCAAAACTTGCTTAAGAGGCAACAGATTACGAGTTTAGCCGCGAATGTATCGAGTCATTCGAATTACTGAAAAAAGAACTTACCTCTGCACCGGTACTGCGACTGTACGACCTTGCGGCTGAGACGGAGCTGCACAGTTGTGCGAGTAGTGCAGGCTTCGGAGCGATCCTGCTGCAGCGGCAGAAAAATCAGCCCTGGGCACCCGTAGCCTATTTCAGTAAGGCCACAAACCAAGCTGAAAGTAAATATCATTCATATGAATTAGAAATGTTAGCGATAGTTAGAGCGGTAGAGAGGTTTCATTTATATCTTTATGGTTTAAATTTCACGATATTCACCGATTGCAATGCCTTAGTGTACGCGGTGAATAAGGCAAATTTGAATCCCAGAATTGCTAGGTGGACACTCACCTTGCAAAACTATGACTTTAACCTCTTGCATCGGCCAGGAAATCGTATGGCGCACGTGGATGCGCTCAGCAGGGGAATAGCCTACGTTCGTGAGGTGCCCCTCAAGCGAGAACTTGAAGTCAGGCAGTTGACAGATCCTAAAATTATAGATATTAGCAAAAGGTTAGAATTTGAAGATAATGAGAAATTCGAATTAAGGAACGGTTTATTATACAGAAAGGACGGAAACCAATTACGATTTGTAGTACCAGAGTCAATGGTGATGAGCCTTTTGAAGGCCCACCACGATAATATGGCTCATTGTGGTGTCGAAAAGACAGTAAAAGGTGTAGAGAAATCCTATTGGTTCCCATCCTTTCGCAAGAAAATTATAGATTATATAGATAATTGTCTTACGTGTGTGATGTCGAACGAATCTTCTAACAGGAAGGAAGGGTGTCACGCGTTGGAATCGCAAAGTTAATGCGCGACGAAGTGCCGATACCGCCACGAGAGTGGCGTACAGATAGCCGCGTTTCGTGTAGATTCCCGATGAACACGGCTCCCGTTCGTGATCCGCGGAAGGTGACCGACAAGCGTTTAGACTAGGGGT